AGGAGGAGGAGGAAGAAGAAGAAGAATAAGATGATTAGAACACTTCGCGACTCTGAAGCCGATGCGGTACCCTGTGTATTGCTTGTTTGGTGCGGCAAGGTGAGCGAGGCGTGGAGAAGTGGTTTACATATTTTGAAGACAGCTGCTGATGGCAGGAGGAATAGGGTTTGACGTGGCACGGTACTCCCGCCGCGCCTCTCCGTGCGACGTACTGAATAACTCTGTTGCTATTTTATTGTCACCAGGTTAACCAGAGACATAATATCCAGGTTGTCCAGAGATATTATACACGCGAGTTTGCATACGAAAATTATGAGGCTGAGCTCGAGCCGAGCCTTGGGGGCTGGAGACGTCGTCCGCTTGCTAGCCTAGACCGAGTATGATAAGCGAGGGCACTAAGAAAAAAAAGCTCACACCCGTTCGTTTACTCGCACCAACGCCCGCCACCAAACTTCTTTCTCCACACCAAACACGACATTCAACACACAACACACGACACTCGACGCGACACCGTCAGGAGGTATATTTCTTATTTATTCCTGCAATCGCAAAGGCTGAATTCACGCTACGTCCAAGCGTCATCTCCGAACCCCACAGCTCTCTCCGGTCTGCGAAACACCATGGCAGAGTCTTCTATCGAGGTAACGTCTTCCCCGTCTTCAAACTCTAAATTTTTTTTGACCGAATGTTCAGGATCGACTGCGTGCCTCCGCAGAGTCTTTCGATGGATTACTAGCATTAATTCCAGCAAAATTCTACTACGGGGAAGGAGATACAAGCGTATGTCAATTCCCACACCGCAACTACGAACGCACGTTGATATTATCCGCCAGGACCAATGGAAGAAAAAAAAGCAAACCAAGGAGCAAGCGGCTGCCGCAAGAAGAGCGAAGCTAGACCCCGACTCCGCCAAAACCGCCAAAGACGTGATGGATGAACGTGCGCGAAAGAGAAAATTGGAGGAGCTGGAAGAGCTTCATGGTTCCGATGTGGAAGGAGTGGAGAAGGAGCTACCCAAGGAAGGCTTGAAGCTTGCACAGGACAAGAAGGCCAAGAAGCAAAAGATTTCGAACGATACGGAATCGGCACTTTCTGCAGAGAAATCCAAGGCCGAACGGAAGGCAGCCAAGGCTGACAAGAGCAAGCTCAAAGCTGAGAAGCAGGCCGAGAAGCGGAAAGAAAAGAAGCTGAATGTCAAGAAGAAAGAGCTTACAGCGAATTCTGGTGTGAAGACTGGCAAGGTACCACAGGAACTCAAGGACCCGAAGCCTCAAAAAGACACGGCCACCGCTAAAATGGTTGAATCCTTAGTGGAGGAAGATTCTGAGGTAGAGGTCGAGGTCGAGGACAAAGCTATGGGTAAAGGCGGAGCTGAAGAGAGCCCGGTGGTGGAGGAGGAAGCAGAGGAACACGAAGAAATCCCCGGCGACAAAATGGTAAATTTCGATGCCGACGGCCTTGACGAGCAGTCCGGTTCCGCAACATCTACCTCTTCACCTCTCTCTGCAACCTTCGACAACCCCACAGAACCAAGCGCAAACACATCTACATCCTCAGTCATCCCTCCTGCCACAGCACCCAAACATATTAAGCTCCCTACCGATCCGGAACTCCTGCGCTCGCGGCTCGCAGCACGGATAGAAGCCCTTCGTGCAGCACGGAAAGCCGACGGTCCCGATGGACGCCCAGCGCGGAATCGCCAGGAACTTCTCGAGGCGCGGCGAAAGAAGGAGGAGCAGAGGAAAGCGCACAAGAAGGAGCTGCGCATGAAGGCCAAGATCGAGGAGGATGCAAAGCGAGAAGCTGCTCTGGCGTCTGCTCGAGATTCTCCCGCGTCAAGCATGATGAGCCCCTTGATCCACTCTCCCGAGCAAAACTTTTCGTTTGGCCGAGTCGCTTTCGCGGACGGACAAGAGCTCTCTGAGGATCTCACGCAGCTGAAGAACGCGCCTAAGAAGCGGGGACCGCAGGATGCTGCCAGTGCGCTGAAAGCCGCCGAGAAGAATCGGGCGCGCATCGCTGGGCTCGACGACGAGAAGCGCGCTGATATCGAGGAGAAGGACCTGTGGTTGAACGCCAAGAAGCGGGCTCACGGCGAGAAGGTCCGCGACGACACGTCCCTGCTGAAGAAGACGCTGAAGCGTAAGGAGAAATCGAAGAAGAAGAGCGAGAAGGAGTGGACGGAGCGGAAGGAGGGCGTGGCAAAGAGCCAAGCGATGAGGCAGAAGAAGCGGGAGGAAAATCTGCAGAAGAGGCGTGATGGGAAGGGCGCCAAGGGGAAAGGGAAGGGTAAATCTGTCAAGGGGAAGAAACCAAAAGTCAAAAGCAGACCGGGCTTCGAGGGGGGTTCGAGATGATAGAGAGCTCGTGTTTCGTAGTTAAACAGCATGCTTGGGGAGCAGTGGCGTCTCTGCGAATGTAGCAAGGTCAAACATATGGGGTCTACTTCGCCCTTTCCCATGCGGGAGATCATGGGCTGAGTATTACATGCACGTGAAATTCTAGTATTCTACCATAGGAAACTGAGCTGGGATTACTTGGACCGGGATCTTGCAAGCTCAATGCTGCAATAGGTAAATCTATGGTTACACCTTTTAACTTGCGAGACCTCTTGTGAATACGCCGAAACAATATTGATTTGTGCTCTCGCAAGTGAAAGTCCAAAAAAAAAAAACAAAAAAAAACCAGAACCAACAGAAAAAATCTCAGCTGTCCACGCCTTCGGCACAAATCAGGATGTAATGTCGCACTGATATCTTTTGGGGGGCCATAGTCCAGGCACTTATAACGACAATATAGAAGTTCCGCTCATTGCCCAGAATAACCATCAACCTTTGTTCTATTCTGTGATAGCTCTGCAGGGCATCTAAAGAAGGGAATCGAGGCGGGTGAACACGCTGAGACATGCTGCTACGACCTGAGTCCTTGTTAGTTTTGATTTTTAGTAGAGATTATGATAGCAGGCCTACCTCAAGTTGCAATTCCTTGTCCTTGCCGTTGGTAACTTCGTCCCCGATAATCTGCCCCAAATTTGCCCCAACGCCACCTGAAGCACCGCCAGCTCTCTTCCCAAACGGCCACTGACTGTACTCAGCTAGCAACTCATCCACCTGGGCAAATGCACGCTCCCGAGACTCGTGTCCCAGCGTAGCTAGCGCGTTCTCGAGAACGTTGGCGGCGTAGGCAGCACACACCATGGCAATGGTTCGCACGTATCTGAATTCAAGATTTTCTGGGAGAAACTGGCTTCCTGGTAGGACAACTGTGCGCTGTGTAAGGACATTACGGACCCGGCGTCTGATTTCCTCTTTGGCACCTCCATCTGCTACAGGGTGTGTCGCCATGTCGAAGAGGAGGAAGTTGCGCTTTTCGGTTCGGAGGATGCCCTTGTCGACCAATCCCTTTGCTAGGCGCTCTCTGACTTGCTTCAGCTGGTATCCAATTTTCATGAGATTCCACGTCTCCCCTAAAGTGGCCACACATTAGATTCCGAGCTTTCGTCAATATTGAGAAGGCCATGGATAGCTTACCGCTCATCAGGTCAATCCATTGACTAACACTCATCTTCTCACTCGCCTTCATCATCTTGAGCGCCTCATCGAGCAGAACCTCGCCGGTAAGTGTATCATCAATGACCTCGATAACCCGATCAGCAAGTGGAAATCGCCGTCTCGAGGAGTCCTTCTGCATGCTGACACGCCCCCGGAAAGCAAGCTCGATGACAATACATCCTCTGAGCGCATACGAAATATTGTCGTTCCAGAAAGATAGATAGCCCTGGCAACTGTTAGTCCTCTGCTGGGCGAAGACTGACCATTCCTCTCTTTGCGAGCTCACCTGCTTATCCTTCAGTCCCAGCAGCAGCACCTCTTCCATCAGTGTCAGCTTGGGCTGCTTGCTCCGCTCAGCACTCTCGCTGATATCTCTGGGATCGAACGCAATTTTATGTCCATTCTCGCCGCTCTCATAGGATGTCTCAGGGCCGCCTGTGTCACGGGAGCCTCCAGCTTTGGGGACGGGCGACGCTACCCGACTCGACTCTGCCTCCTCGTTGTCAGCTCCTCCGCCTCCTCCACCTCCTCCGCCGGCGCCTCTGCGTCGAGTGAGTCCCGACGACATTGTAGGAGTTTGCGATGTATGTTATGCCCAGTAAAGGTCCGGATTGGGGGAAGGAGAAATTTCGTCCTCGGTGGCATGCGAACAAGACAGGTCTCCGTAATGCGCCCCCCTTGCACGAGCCACAGAGCCTCGGGAGCTGCAGTCCAATGGTATGCACAATAGAAATCCTGGTCGGAGGATAGGATTTTGAGTCTCTACAAGTTAAATTGGCGGTGGTCGTAGATACTTGGCCGGAAATTGGTCGAGTTCGTGTTCGTGTGTAATGAATGAAGTCGCTCATGGTTCGCCAAGGATACGGTAGCTAGCGTCATGTGGAGCGAGCGCGAGGCTGCTTACCCAAGATTTCGATAGCTGAAGTGGTCCTGATTCCAAAAAAAAAAAAAAAAAAATACTGTAAAGAAATTCAAGCACAACGCAAGACATGAGATAGGTTTTCTAAACATTTCTGCAGGCACGTAGGATTTAGCGTGCTCTGTGGGCATCTTCTATCTGTACAGATATTCCTCAAAGAGTCACCGCTCAGCATATGCCTCCGATTCATTCCCTCCCCATCGTCAAGTTTCCTATAATACAAAGTACACAACTCAGTGAGCTACATGTATATCAGCTTGAATGTTCTAGTGAAATGCGATTTGAGAATTTTTCTCACCATCTGGTTGCGCAAGAATGTACTCAACGGCCTTGTCAACTAGAAAATGTTAGATGTATCCATTTGTATGAATTTGTTTTCTAAAAACATACCACTATGAATGGCATCTGCCTCCTTATCCGGGATCTCGATGCTGAATTCCTGTGCTGGCGTCAGGACCTCCATGTGGCTTTGATATTCCAATGTACTAACCTCCTCGATAGCCATCACAACCTCAACAGTATCCAAGCTGTCCAAGCCGAGATCGTTCGCGAAGTTGGAGGTAGGCGAGAGCTGTAGCTATCAGTCCCAAGTCCGTCTCTTTGACATCGTATTGTCCTACCTTCGACGCATCGGTAACCTGTAGGAGTTCATCAGCACCTCTCTTCTCAATCTCTACTCGGACAGAACGCACCTTATCAAAATTCTTCAACAAGTCCACTATTCTGCCCTCAACCTCCGTCTTTGACAGGCCAGCAGCAGCAGAGTAACATCTCACAGCCTGGAAGGCAGACGGGGCGAATCGGGACTGCGAGAAGATGTAGCTCTGGGCGGCAGGGCGAGCGATTGCTCCAGATTTTTGGGCAACTTGGCGCGTGGCGCCGCGTACAGAGCTGAGGAGGGCGGTTCGGAACATCTTGGTAGGGTCGTGGGAGCGTTGGGAGAAAGCTTTGTTCTGTGAGAGATGTGGAGATTGATGATGGAGAATGAGCAGCTCTCCCAGCTCAGTTTTGAGTTCTATATCACGTGATAACCTCGCAACTTGAGATGCGTTCTAGACATAACAGACATAGAGATACTTGATTAAGCTTAAGCCAGATATAAGTTGAAGTAAATAGAAAGTCATTGGCAGTTTTCCTGCTCGATCCACGAAAATCTGGTGGCATTTTGAAGCTCTTCCAAGCCAGCCAATCACCACCGCTCAGATAATAATCCGCCAGAGCGACTTTCGCGACATCAAGACAATCGACACTCCCATCGCCAACACCCTCGCCCCGAGCACAAAACCATGGCTTCCGCAAAGCCTCTGACTTCACTCGTGGCTCGCAGCCGGCCGACAGCGTCTCTGTGCCGCTCTGTTCGCACATTCACACCTACCTCCTCTCCCTGGGCATCCTTCTCAACATCCAGCATCCGCGCCGCCACCCCCTCGGGACCACCACCGGCAGGATTCCGACTGCCCAAGCCAGAGAGATGGTACGAGAGCCAGGAGTCAACTCTGGATAAGGCGGGGAAGTTCTTCTTGTTGACCGAGATGGCGAGGGGAATGTACGTGGTATTGGAGAATTATTTCAGGCCGCCGTGAGTTGTGCCATTGAGCTCCTAATCTGGGAGGCTGGGCGCTGATATGGAGCAGGTACACTATCTATTACCCGTTTGAAAAGGTAGATATCACTCGGGAGCAGCAATGGCAGGGCAAGCGCTGATGGTGGACAGGGACCGATATCTCCACGTTTTCGAGGCGAGCACGCACTGCGCAGATACCCGTCCGGCGAGGAACGATGCATTGCCTGCAAGCTGTGTGAAGCTGTCAGTTGCTCCTCTCAACGTAGAATTGAAGGTCTAATTAAAGATAGATTTGTCCCGCCCAAGCCATCACAATCGAAGCAGAGGAGCGCCAGGACGGAAGCCGGAGAACAACACGCTACGATATCGACATGACGAAGTGCATCTACTGCGGTTTCTGCCAGGAGAGCTGTCCCGTCGACGCTATTGTCGAGTCGCCGAATGCCGAGTACGTCACCGAGACGAGGGAGGAGCTGTTATACAACAAGGAGAAATTATTGGCGAACGGTATGCACCCTTCGAGCAAACTCCACATGCGATGATTGATGTTATCCATGGGAGAATGAGAGTACTGACACGAGGGCAGGAGATAAATGGGAGCCAGAGTTGGCGGCAGCGGCGAGAGCAGATGCGCCTTACAGATAAGACTGGGTTTTCTTTTGTCGGTAGTATATGCATATTGTACATTGAAGCACGAGCGGATTGCTTAGAGGTTCTAAGACGGTATTGGAAAAGATTCTTAATCCTATTTTTTCCTCCCCACAGCTGTATGCAGAAAGCTATGTGACCTCAGCAATGTGGCGAACTCTTCTCACTTCTTACTCTTGAATTATCCAGGGGTGAGGGGTTCAGGTTGGAAAACTACGAAGGATGTACGATCTGAGAGACTTCGATATCTAGGACGGCGTCTCTTTAGCATGGGAGCTGGAGTCGCAGCCCTATAACCCCATCGACGTTCAGTGCGACATTCGAAGCATACCACACAACGGATGCAGCCTCACCGGAATTTATATTATCAGACCGAACTCCCAACTTCCCAAACCCGAATGCACATTCAGTGCGATAGGCAAAAAAAATCTCCTGCTAGATCTCATCGTTGAACAATTCCCTACCTACCTTCCACACCCCCAAACCCCGTCTCGACATGCCCTCACGAAGATTTTGCAACCACAATCAAAGCAACAGCAACAACAACAGCAACAGCAACAGCAACAGCAACAGCAACAGCAACAGCAACAGCAACAGCAACAACAAAAACGCACTCACTCACCGTCTACCTGCCTACCCATCGCCAGTTCCAAAAGCCAACACCGATACCCAATCGCCTTCTCGATACCCATCCGGGGGACCCGAGCAACCGACATCCAAATTTGAAAGTGATGTGTAATTAAAATATATATATCTATACCTATATTATTATATTCTTCTTCTTCTTCTTCTCTGCCATATACCCACCCCCTAACGTGCCCAGATCCTCAAGACGGCCGGTCCAATCAATACCGGTACCACTCGCTCAGTCACTCAGTCACTCACCTCGTAGACCTAGGTAACCTACCAGAATGGAATCAGGCAGTCGCTCTTGTCGAGCTCTCATCCGTGTCTTCTCTCCTCTCTCTCTCTCTCTCTCTC